GTTATTCAGGTAATATTTTCGAGTTGTTCCCTTCTATGTTGATGTGTATATGGATTTAGGGTTTATTGAACCCTTTTGTGGTTAGATTGAGTGTTTCCTTGGTCCCCCAAGCGATTGGAACCCTATATTGGGACCCTTGGAAGTCCAGAATGTCCCATGCCTGAGCTTTTCGGGAATCAATGGAGGTTTTGGATTGGAATCCTTATGCCTTAGGTCAAAACGTAAATTATGAGTCATGGGGTGTATTATGAGCACCGAAATGAGGACTTTACGTGATGAACCAGTCTAGGAAGGCCAGACCTATGAATTGTCGGAGCAGATCTGACCTTAGAAAGCAGTTTGAGCGGTTGCATGGCATGGACTCGCCGAGTCCGATGAACAGACTCGGCGAGTAGCTTGAAGATTGCCTTAGAGTGGTCATGTTCGGGTTATGGGTTGGATCGGTGAGTCAGGGCGAGTTAGAGAGGGTTAATAGGTGGTCTGAGTCGAACTGGGACTCGCCGAGTTGTTCTTCAGACTCGGCGAGTTGAGTCGGGGTGGCCCCGCGATTCTTCCAGGAGGAACTCGTCGAGTCAAGGGGGATACTCGACGTGTAGAAAGGGGATCTTAGAGAATTGGTGAGAACGTCTAGACTCGCCGAGTCGCCCTAGCGCTCGCCGAGTCCGGTCAAAGCTGACCGTTGACCAGAGTGGACCTGTGTTGACTTCTTAGGGATAGTCAACATTAGAGATATAAAGTGTTAACTAGGGACATATGATGTTATAGGAGGATTAGAGCTCGGAGAATCGGGCACGAGGGATCCCCAGGATTGTGAGATATCGAGACACGCGAGGTGAGTCTTCTCACTATATTTTACCTTGAGTAGGTAACCAGAGTTATATGATAGAGTATTTGTATGCTATGTATGTTATGTGTTGCACTGCATTCTTCTATGTGATTTATGCTATGCTTGTTTACAGAGTTAGAACCTGAGGGTTCACAGAGTATGGGTGCACGGACCCACAGAGTTATAGCCTCGAGTGGCTAATATGTGTTATGTGGTATTTTGGGGAACTCGCTAAGCTTTATGCTTACAGTGTTGGTGTTATTTGTTTCAGGTACTAGTGAGGATCGCGGGAAGGCGCCGGCCTGATCAGTGCACACACGCGGGATTTTTATATTATGTGATCTTGGGGTTTTTATATGTTATGAAATGAATTACAAACAATGATGTTTTTATGAATATTAAATGAATTTTGCCTTTATAAAATGCGAAAAATTGTTTTTAAATTCTTGGTGTTACAGTGGGTTTGCTACTTCAAGAACCGAGATGGTACTTCCTTTCCTTCGTTCGTTTGAAGAATAAATAATTATAACACTCAAACGGACTTTTAAATTGGCTAAAAATTATTAAAATGTAATTGACTTTTAATCGAAGTGTTTGACTTAACAGGATAGAAAATTTCGGGTTGTCACATATAAGACAATCTTTAAGTTGTAGGGTTCTTCGGTTTACATAAAATCACGGAGGAGGTACTCAACATCCTGAGAAAACCAAAGACGAAAGAAAGGGCATAGATACTTGGCTGATTAAACCATAGTCAACCATATGATGAAGAAACCGATTTGTAGGGATCAGATTGACTTCAGATGCAGTCAAACCCAACTATGAATGAAACGGAGTTAAAGTGTGAGCAAATTAAAAGTATGTGGCAAAAATCAGAATCAACGGAGTAAAAGTCGCAACAGATGAAATTCATGTGGCAAACCATTTGTGTAGGGTTTAAACCAATAATAGAAGATGGATCTTACCTAAGGCCGATGACTTTTAACCACATATGGAGATCAGAAATTGGAAGGTTCAGAATAGTGATTTGCCTTTGATGAATCCTCCTTCAACGGACTTAGCTCCAACGTCAGTCGCCGAGGGAGAGAGACGGTGTGGGGAAGAAGTGAGAAAAGGAAGCGGATAAAGGTCCAGAAGATACATGTAATGGCGGTAAAGGATTGTGATTGGAGGAGAAAGCGGCAGGGATCAAAGTGAAAATGTAGAAACTGTTGTGGTAATTTTGTAAAGAGCAGAAAGATGTTGTGGCCAAAACTTAACGTCGGTAAACATTGTGGTGAAACTTTAAAAGGCAGAAAAAGTTCCGTGGCAAAATAAGAAAGAGAAAAAAAAAAGTTCATGTTCACCAGGCTTTTAACAATTAATAGTATGTAATAATGTGAAATTTATATTAAGAAAAAAAACTTACGTGATTGTTCATTAATAGTTGAATGCAAATCTGAATAAGAATTACCGCTATTTGAATGATCAATATTCATACTTGAAGATGATTGATCATGAACTGCAAAACCAAAAAAAAAAACATCTATTTTATTACATTATATAGAAAATGTGAAATTTATATTAAGAAAAAAAAACTTAAGTGGTTGTTCATTGATAGTTGAATGCAAATCTGAACAAGAATTCAGAGAACTCATAATGAATCGGTAACCTGGAGTTTATATACAAATTAGAAATTTAGAATTGATAATTGTACAAAAAATGAAACAAATAAACAAGATAATCACAAAACTTTAAAATATATGCACACGATAAAATAAGATTCTCAAAATCACTAAAAGTTTGGAAAAAACTTAAATGTTAGAAGATGCACAAGATATAATTGATTATCTAAATGTCGAATATGCATTACAGACGAATGATTACAAAAACGACCGAATGAAAAACAGTAACATCAAACGAATATTCAACATACGACATAAAATTAGCAAATTAACAATAAAAACATAACAATTTGAAGATTAAACGGTAAAATCAAGAGAATTTGACAATCAGACGATTACAATAACAGTAAAAATAAATTGATAAACAATGCATCGGAAGAAAAACCGTAAAATCAATTGACCTAATAATCATAAATGAAAGATGAATAAATGTTAAAAATACCCGATTATTAGCTGAAATCTGAAGAAACTATTAGTAAATTAGATGAAAAAGGTTGAGATTTCGAAGAACAAGCGAGATTTTGGATTGATCAGTGTTGAAGGTGTTGAAGATGAATGACAGTAACAGAAGACGCTAACCGAGACAAACAGAAAGGCTAGTCCGCCAGTTCCGGCCATTGTAACGTACTTCCCAATGGAGAGCCCTGTAGCAATAGATTGGGCCATCCGCCAGTTCCGGCCATTGGATGGGAATAGGGCAAGGTAATTTGTAGCTGATCCATTTGCCGGTTTCCGATGAAAACATCTCTAAATTGAGATAATTCAATTCAAAGTGTTCCAACCAAACAAATGTATAACCAGTAAGCATATATCGTCATTAACCCTAGTTATTTCTCCATAATCGGTTTTGTTTATATCCATGTAAATGGTTAGCGTGCTATGTTGATCTTCATCCACACATGATTTCTGAGTTTTGGTTATTGCAGAGTTCCAAAAAATCATTAATCAACAAGCATCATAGAACCCTTACATGGCAGTTGATTGAAGATGAAAGTTCATAAACAGAAACAGGAAGAAATTAGGAAGAAAGGCTAGTCTGGTGTTTTTTTTTTTTTTTTTTTTTACTTTCAGTTTTGCTTGATATAATGTCTAACTGTAGGTTTTAACTTCTCTTCGAAAATTTAACTGGTTGGAATTGTGAGTTATGTTCGGGTGTGAGTTTAGTTTTATAGACAATGTCAATATAAAATGGGTTTACTTTAAATGAAAGGGTGGTCGGGTTAGGGAGACTAAAAAATCAGAAAAGCGAGAAGCTGAAATGTGAGTTTATTCAAGCTTCACATTTTTCCAGGTTTGATTAACTGTTGGAAAGTACGGAAAATGGTTTTCAATATGGATTCGAAAATCAACTACCCATGGAGAAACAGTTTTAAATGAATTTTTAATAATTGGGAGATATTGAATATTCTTATATAGTTATATTTTTCTAATGTTCCAAAGAAAGTACAAGATAACAGAGGGAGTGAAATTAATTTCAAAATATTACGACCTACGATAACATGTGCTATCTGGTTTTGGGATGAAATAAATAGTTGATGTTGCACTTTGAGTTGGTACATGGTGGAGAATTATGCTACAATTTATAAATGAATCTTTGGATTTGTGTGTTATGCATATTCTTATTTTCCTTTGAGTAGTTCTTTAGAATAAGATGGATAGGTTAATTTTTAATGCACAAATAAGTGTATAACAGATTCTCACCAAAATAATGTATTCGTTTTTTTCAAGATATATTTTCATCGTTCAACAAAATTATCAAGGTTTGGGGTTGGTTTATTGCAGTGGAGAATTTTTAAGTCAACAGTAATAATGTATTCGGAATTGAAATAAAGGTAATTTTTCTTTACCTCTCAAAATTCCATCCCATAATTGTGTAAAAGCTTTAATTATGAAAACATTTCAAGAAAATTCGAACATTAAGTTATTATTTTGTGGTCTTTACTCCTTACAATGAAACAAAGTTGCAATATAGTATCACGTTGGAGAAAGTGATAGTCTGATAGAGACATAGAGTCAATAGCTGTCATTTTTGTTAAATGGAGAAAAAAAATATATTGCGTGGCTTCATCTACACTACGTATTTGCAGTACAAAAGACTAAGTAGTGTAAATTATCTGGTGGTGAGTTATAATAAGGTATTGTAACTTGTAAGATCTATACAAATGTTTTTTGATGCGTCCAATCACAAATCAAATTAGAAATAAAAATTGATATATTTGACTTATCAATTTTTTGGTTAGTCGTGTTTGACATAAATCATGAACACGAACCAAACCAGAGAGCCAAAGACTTTACTACAAGTGTTAACCCATCCAACAAATATTGAAAAAATCAATTTGGTAATATGTTTCAGAATAACACTAATTGCTGAAATAAACTATTCGTTGCCGCCGCTTTATATATATATATATATATATATATATATATATATATATATATATATATATATATATATATATAACAAAATAACAAATATTTTTGCAAGGTCATGTTCTAGGCTTGGCAGACCAATAGGTATACAATAATTAGCAACAAATAATAATCGGGTGTGTTTATATATGCAGCAAATGGCGTATCAAATAAATATAACATTTATAATTATCAAATAAATATAACATTTATAATTATATGTTTAAATATGTTTGAAATACATAGGATACAACGAAAATTAAAACATGTAATAATAAAACAAATAGAGATTATGGTTAACGCCACTTTAGTTTGAACTCTGGGTAGAAATCAGGAGTGGACTCGTCTAGCAAGCTTCTGTGGGAATTTGTTAGGGCTTTCCATTTTTTATGAGGATCCCATCTTATTTGAACATGTTTCAGGTAATGAGGCCAATACGCAGTTCTAGTATTCTTTTTCTCCAATACCTCCCTCAACATAAGCCTGCAAAAGTGATTGTTTTGCTTGAAGGAAACATCTGGCTGTGGAAATACTTGCTTGGGATGGCAAATCTCAAAGAATGCATCAAAAAATGGAGATCGCTCCCACAGGCCTTCGTCCTGATCCGTTTCAAACCACAGTTCTTGCATGTTAGTAGCAGGAGGAAGCAGGAGCCTTGTTCGTAGATCATCGATGTCGATATCCAATGGTGGATTAGAGTTGTCAGTTGATATATGAAGGTAGCACAAGCGTGATAACTCGAATGCTTCCCTCATCATAAGAAAAAAGTCTGCATCAACAGGAAGCTGGAGCATGAGTGAAACCTTGAAATGCTGAAGAGACGAGAGTGGAAACAGAAGACTAGGCAATATGCAGCCAGAAAGATGGACATAAAGTAATTTTGGAGCATAAACTTGTACATCGATAACCATGGCTGGGCACGACAGCAAGAACAATATTTTGATGGAAGGACATGTTAAATGGAAGCTTCCCAACATCCAAGATGTCAAATAAAGTGTCAAACTCTGGAGAAAAGGAAATTGCGATTTGAAGATGTCAAGACACGCATTGTCCGTTATCACACCAGCTAACGTTAAGTGTGTCACGCTTCTTCCTAATGATATTGAAGAGGCGTTGAATGGAGGAGGGGGGTGATCGTGCAGCCAAAATCGTACATCTAGTTTGTAGCTAAACAGGCCAAGATTTGGGACATCACTGATTTCCAAAGCAGTAGAGTCTACAGCATTTAAATTTATTCGTAATTCATAAAGACGAGGAAGGTTTTTAACCTTGATGGTGTTGAACCCATTGCAAGAATTTAAAAGCACTATCTTAACAAGCAAGCTACAAGACGACAATATGTGATTAAGTGCCTCTTCACTTATGCATACACAATCCAAGTGCAGTTCTCGTAGGGACACACACTTGATCACAGGATGCTGGCTAGTCGTCATCGGAACACGGCCCCCAGTCGTACCTGAAACTGTTATCTTAGTTAGGTTTTCACCCGAGAGTATCTCATCTGGCAACGTAAACGAGGCACCATTAAGGGTGATTGAGAGGGAAAACTCTTTGAGACAAGTTTTGTTTGCCACGGGCCCCATCCATTTTTCAGCATGAGAAGCTGACTCCTGGTTCTCGACGTCCATCATAAGGTCAAACCTTTCGATTGGTATGTTGTCACGGAGATACCTGTATAGAACGCGGTCCATGTACGCCAACTTCATGCATCTTTCTCTTCCAACACTGAAGATGAGGATAGGGATGGTAGACCAGGCGTACAGCCATGACTTGGACAACACGCTTGTGCGGGCTGCTTCTTTTACCGGCAACCATGATTGTATACGCTGCATCAACTCAGGAACATCTTCCACTTCCCTTGCACTGGCACTGCTTTTCATCCCTTCAAACCTCAAAACAATTAACAAGTTAACAACACATCATCAATTTTCCACAGACATCTTATGTTATACTTTATTATATACATATAAAATTATGAAATCACCACAACCAAACCAGCACAGCAATGCATTACAACCATATAATATATACAGTGTGTAGCATCCATCCAAAGGAGGGGTTTTGCCTTACAGATTGCTATATACAACACTCTACTAGAAACAAAAGCCTAAAAAACACAAGTTCAAACATGAAACATGTTTGGCTACACGATTATTCAGATACGGTAACAATCCAACAAAAACTCTTGGCCAGCCAGGGTCAAATCCTTTTGAAACAAACAACACCATCCAATCCAAGTTATATAGGTAAAGTTAAGCCAGTAAATTAAAACAGATTAGTTCGGTCAAACCCCGCGATATGATGATAAGCGAACCATGAATTACAACCCATAGTCATTCCTCAAATCGCCTTACCAAATAGCTTTAGATCTATTCAAAACCACTAACAGTTTCAAATTTTCTCTTGGTATCGGTACGAACAGAACCCAAGACACACAAACATGGATTGATAACCAGAATTCCATACTTAGAAGAAAAACCCAATCTTGTAATTTCAAGTTTAATTGCTCTAGTTTATGCCTCCAATTGTTCATATGCAGGATTTACACGCACCAAATAGCAGACAACAAGATGCAAAACAAATTTGATGATTTACCTGATAACTAAAATCCAGAGGCAAGCGGCAACAGCAAGCGTTTCCTCGAGGGTGAGAGTAACCACTAATTATTCATGACCTAGGGTTCATGTTGTACTTTCACTCCTCGTATCTAGACTTTAGTTCTATGTTCTGTTTTTCGTTTTTCTAATTTTATTTTCTTTTTATTTATTATAACCTGACTGACAAAATTACAAGAATGGTCTTCCTGTTCCTGTTAGCCTTTTCTTTTTCTTTTGCTTTTTATTTTTTATTTTCTGTTTTCGTTATGGTCCTTGTAAGTATTTCTCGATTTAATTATTTGGACTCGATCGTCAAATTAATCATGAGTAAATTACAGTTTTGGTCCCTATCGTTTTTCTCACTTTTAGTTCATTTTTAAAAAAATAGACGAGACTCATATTTAAAGAAATTACATAGTACGTCACTTGTCATAAATTTTTTTTTTTACACTTAAGCATTTCTTTTTTAATTCCTTTTAATCGTTTTTATATTATTTTAATTAAAATAGATACAAACCAAAAACTCACCCATCCCGCCCTCTCGTCCTTAGTTACAACCACATATCTCCTACTAACTCTTTCGCTCCTTATTCACATTGCCTCTATCTCTCTTTTTCTCACTTTCCTGCTGCCATACACCACCATTGGACCACCGCAGTCTGCGACGAACCACCACCATTTGTACATCATCAAACCACCGTCGCCGCCGGATCTGCTTGTGTTTAGCCAAAAACTCTACATCAACCCCAATCCGTCTTCTTATACTTTATCTCTCTCTCTCTCTCTCTCTCTCTCTCTCTCTCTCTCTCTCTACTATTTCATCGAAAACCACCACCAACTTCATCTTCAGCCTCCGTTGGTGGTTTAGATCTACAAAAATCTACAACATCGGAGGTAAATTTTTTAGGGCAACATTAGGCTAAAGGTTTTTGTGTATGGATCAATTCTTCAAACCCTAACTTTGACGGTAGCTTTGACAGACCACAACGATGACGAGTAGTGAGTTGATGGTTCGCCAGTCAGCGACTATGGTGGCTATTGTGGGGTCGGCGATATTTTCGCTTTAGATTTGAGAGGGAGAGGCGTCTGGTAGAAGTAGGTGGTTGGCGGATGACGTTGGAGTCGTGAAGTTTTATTAGGATAAGGAAAGAGAGATGGGGGTGAGGGTAGGGAGAAGAAGGTGGTTTGCGTTGGATTGGTTTGCGGCGGATGGTGGTGGCACATGGTGTTGACAGGCTGGTGACTAGTGAAGAGAGAGAGAGAGAGAGAGAGAGAGAGAGGGGGAGGGGGGTGGTGGCTCCTTATGGTTTTATATTTAATAAATATAAAAAGAGTAAAAAGAAAAAGAAATTAGAAAGGGTAAAGTATTATTTTAATATTTATAGAGGGACCAACGATGTAATTTCTCCTAACCACAAGGACCATGGGTTCAATTTTTTTAAACCATGAAGACGACTTCGGAGGAAGTTGGGACACGTACTTACCCTTGGCTGAGTTTTCCTATAACAACAGCCATCATTCGAGCATTGGTATGCCACCCTTTGAGTTGTTGTATGGGAGGAGGTGTCGGACTCACATTTGCTGGGGAGAGGTAGGGCAACGTGTGATGGGTAGTACAGAGATTGTGCTTCAGACGACCGAGCAGATTCAGCAGGTCAGACAGAGGTTACTAACGGACCAGAGCCGTCATAAGAGTTATGCGGATAGACGACGGTCAGAACTCGAGTTCCAGGTCGATGACTTCGTACTCCTGAAGGTGTCTCCTTCGAAAAGAGTGATCCGTTTCAGGAAGAGGGGCAAGCTGGGGCCCCGGTACATTGGTCCGTTTAGGGTGACCGCGAGGGTGGGCAGAGTAGCATATCGGTTGGAGCTACCTGCGGAGCTGAGCCAAATTCATGATACCTTCCACGTGTCTCAACTGAGGAAGTGTATTGCCGACGAGACAGCAGTAGTACCACTGGAGGATATTCAGGTGGATGCAAGCCTGAATTATGCTGAGAGGCCAATCACGATTGTGGATCGGAAGATCAAGGTTCTGAGGAACAAGGAGGTGCCTCTGGTTCAAGTCCAGTGGCAACATCAGAGAGGGTCCGAGCTGACTTGGGAGCTAGAGTCAGAGATGCGGGAGCAGTGTCCGGAGTTGTTTGCAGCATGAGACTTCGAGGGCAAAGTCTGGTTCTAGTGGGGGAGAATTGTAACATCCTGAAATTCAGGTACGACTATTTAGCCCTTCTTTTATTCAAAGTGTCAAGTTAAGCCCTTAAGAGGAATTGGTAGCAAATGAGTACGCTGGGCGTACTCAAGAGTACGCTGCGCGTACTCATGCGCTTATTTTGGACGCGGACTTGCCTGAGTACACTGGGCGTACTCAGGGTTACGCTGGGCGTAATGTGTCCAGGTGCAAACCCTAATTTCTGACTTGTGCCCTATATATTGGATGCTAAGGCTCATTTCTCAGCCTCCATAGCAGTGAGTAAAACCCTAATAGAGAACTTTTCATCGTTCTTAGTGAGTGTGTGTGATTTTGGAGCTAAAAGTGACTTGGTGTGCTAGTGAAGAAGAAGGAGAGGAGTTTGTGGAGACTAGAGCTTGAAGTGAAAGTTTGGATCTGAGATCTACAGAGGAAGGAGCTGCATTTGGAGGTATAAAGTTCAAAACTTTCCTCTTCATTTGGTTTGTTGCTTCATGGACCATTTTAGGGTTAAAAGTCCCAAAGGTGGAGACTTTATGAGTGTAATGTGCTCCATGGACCTAGATTTGTCCCATTTCAGTGGTATTTGTGTTATAGATCCATAAAGTTCCCATCTTGGTCGTGGATATGAGATCATGCTTGAGTATTGGGCTTTCTAGTGTTAGGAAATGGTATATTTTGGGTGTTAGTGACTTATTCAGCCCGGTTTCTTCCAACTCATTGTTCCCGCCGGTCAACGGTACCACATCCCAGCGGTACCGCCGGTACCCACCACCCAAACCGCCACGACTCCATCCTCCCTAATAGCACATCAAGATACAGTGCTCTAGCACTATGCGTGAACCGCTTTTTGATTTTGTCCCCATTTACTATTTGAACCGGGAATTGATTTTCTCTGGATTCTCTCCTCTGTCATTTAACACAGAATACTTATCCTTTCTCAGAGGGTGTTTGACATTGCTTTTAAAACATCTTTTGACTTTTAACTTTTCCAGAAAGTTGAAAAACATCCTAAAGATGTTTGGCTATTGAAAAATATATTTTAAAAATGACTTTTTGTATTGAAGGAAAAGAAAGATTTTAAAAATTACAAATTCTATGTGACTTTTGAGACTTTTAACCTGAAAAGTTATGCCAAAAACAAATACAAAGGCTTTTGAAAGATTTTCCCAAACAGCCCCCTCATTCATTCTCTCTAGACATAACCACCACCATCGAGGCCCTCACCACTGGCGGAAATCACACCACTGAAAATCATACCCCATTCTTCCTTCATTCTTCTGTATGACCCTAGATGTGTACCTTATTATCTCCCTCCTTCTCTCTAACCCTAGACGCAACAATCTACTCCCATACCTCACACTTCACGTTACAACTTCGTCTTCATTACTGCCACCATACAAGCACCACCATCAACTGATGTTTTCACCATCTCATCTCTTTCTCACTTGCTTTTCTCTATAAAACTGATAAACCACCGCAATCTCTATCTCCTTGATGAAACTCTCTACAAGTATCTATCTCCATGATGAAACTGATAAAACCACCACAATCTCTATGTCTGTGTAAGATGAAAAGACCTCTAAACGTTGGTGGTGGAAGAATGCTCTTCACTTCTTCAAGAAACATTAGGGCAACAAATGATGTAGCGACGTTCAGAGCATGAGCAATGACTGATGTTTAAGGCATCAGATTTGTGTCTTCTACTCCTGAAGGCATCATTAACATAGAACCGTGTCTTTTTTGGAACCCACTAAGGAGGTAAGATAAAGCTTCGATTCTGTTTCGACCAGGGTAGAGATTATGTTTTGTAATTTTTTTATATATGAATCTATCACTTCTTTTGTTGTTATTCACTCCTCTTTCTTTGATTTATCTAAAATTAGAGAATGAGGTTCAATAATTGTGCTTAATTAGTGGATTTTCTAAGAAGATTTAGAATGTTCTAAAGTGGGTGTTGTTTCATTGTCTTCATCAGGAGGTATAGCAGATGGAGGAGGTCAATAATCCATATGAAGATTTGGTACTACATCTCCCCTCTTCACGTGATCCTTTTGTTTTCCTGTATAACTATGGCAACCATTATTTAAGAGAGTAATGTTTTAATATATTGAAATTGATTTGTTTTCTCTGATCGTTTTGACTAATTTTGGGAGTTATTATTGAAAAGTGATATACTATGCTTAATGTTTACATTTATATAATTTAGATGGTTGGCACATGCATTGAAAAGGGTTTGAGCTTATGTATCTAAAAAAATGGATATAAGGTGTTTATGTTTACAGTTAATCATTCCATGAAATAAAAAATGGGTGTTTACTTGATTTCTTTAAATTTTGTTTCTTGCTTTTGCATAATTTGTAGTTTTATTTTAACAGAAATGGTCCCTGTTAAAGAAAAAAAATTAAAAACATATTGGAATGCCCTAATAAATCAAGCGAAAGTGTAATGCTATAACTGAGCGGATTCCTCAAAGTACAATGTTCTAATAAGAAATGTTCTATAGTATAATTCTATGAAAGAAGGATGCTATAATACACTCATAACTGAAAGTACTTTGCAATTTCCTACATTTAGCCCTTAACTTAAATGATGCATAACTGCTTCTTAATTTGTTGGTGTCTTTTCTACAGGTGTATACACTTGAGGATGCAACATGATGATGTAGATGTTCATTCCGTTTTTGCCATAATATAACATAACTAGAATGTTATATCACAAAATTTATAGCCTAAAAACTCCCACACCAACGCGCAGTGTAAAAAACCTCGTTTTAGATTAAATTACATAAACGTGCTGCATCTCCATCACAATTGAATCCATCTATATGTGTACTTAGTAGAAAAATCAACGAGTATTATATCCATTCATAGCTTGGTGTATCTTTCTTAATAATTTAACTCCTTTAGTACCAAATTTATTATATCCAGAATTAGAATACAAAGGATAAAAAATGTCTTCACATTCTTTCAACGCATTATTTTAGACTTTTAACATTTTTGTTTCTATCTTTCTTTCCACCTCCTAACACACTTACATTTTACCAACAATATGGGATTTATTTTTTAGCTAATAATAAAAAAATAAATAAAAATCATAACTGATTTAACCAATAATAACAACTTACATTTTAACCAATAATAGCAACTTACTTATATTTTTAAGCAATAATAGAAACGTACTTATCTTTTTAAACAATATTAAAACATACTAATATGTTTAACCAATAAAAGCAATGTACTAATCTTATAACCAATAATAGCAACATGTGTCTCTTATTAACCAATAATATCTTTTTAACCGATTATAGCAACATATACATCTTCTTAACCAATAAGAGCAAAAAACTTATTGGTTTATTTATTTAAAAAAATCAAGCAGCAGCACTTTGGGAGGGCTAATTTCTGCACTTTACTTTTTTTTTTTTTTTTTTTTTTTTTTTTTTTTTTTTTTTTTGCTTTTAAAAGTGGCAATTGGAACAAGCACCGGCCATCTTGGCAACACAAATGGGATCACAGAATGAAGACTTTGACCGCGGTCATTCGGTTTAGAAGCAAAATCCAGCCTTCTATTCAGAATATTATACGACACAATACGCTCAGGCTCCATGCAATACAAATACACAACATTTGGATTTAACGGATGAAACGATAAAGGAATAAACCATCCGTACCGAGTCAGCCAATTACTCAATTCCAGATCGCTGCGTCTCAACTTAAACTCACAACACCATTCTCCTTTCTCATAATCATTCATAGCCCACATGCTGAACAAATAGAACTGCTTGCGACCATGAGCCACCTCGAAATAACGAAGGGTCCCTTGGCTCTCCCCACATAATTGAGAAGAACTGTCTAAATACTTACTCAGGAGATCTCTGTCATCTGGGAATGGAATTAGGCGAACAGATTTTGGATCTTTGTAAGGATCAAATGCAAGCAGGCCATTATAACGTACTTCCCAATGGAGAGCCCCGTAGCAATAGATTGGGCCATCCGCCAGTTCCGGCCATTGGATGGGAATAGGGCAAGGTAATTTGTAGCTGATCCATTTGCCGGTTTCCGATGAAAACATCTCTAAATTGAGATAATTCAATTCAAAATGTTTCAACCAAACAAATGTATAACCAGTAAGCATATATCGTCATTAACCCTAGTTATTTCTCCATAATCGGTTTTGTTTATATCCATGTAAATGGTTAGCGTGCTATGTTGATCTTCATCCACACATGATTTCTGAGTTTTGGTTATTGCAGAGTTCCAAAAAATCATTAATCAACAAGCATCATAGAACCCTTACATGGCAGTTGATTGAAGATGAAAGTTCATAAACAGAAACAGGAAGAAATTACGGAAGAAAGGCTAGTCTGGTGTTTTTTTTTTTTTTTTTTTTTTTTTTTACTTTCAGTTTAGGCACCCCAAGTGTTTGATATAATGTCTAACTGTAGGTTTTAACTTCTCTTCGAAAATTTAACTGGTTGGAATTGTGAGTTATGTTCGGGTGTGAGTTTAGTTTTATAGACAATGTCAATATAAAATGGGTTTACTTTAAATGAAAGGGTGGTCGGGTTAGGGAGACTAAAAAATCAGAAAAGGGAGAAGCTGAAATGTGAGTGTATTCAAGCTTCACATTTTTCCAGGTTTGATTAACTGTTGGAAAGTACGGAAAATGGTTTTCAATATGGATTCGAAAATCAACTACCCATGGAGAAACAGTTTTAAATGAATTTTTAATAATTGGGAGATATTGAATATTCTTATATAGTTATATTTTTCTAATGTTCCAAAGAAAGTACAAGATAACAGAGGGAGTGAAATTAATTTCAAAATATTACGACCTACGATAACATGTGCTATCTGGTTTTGGGATGAAATAAATAGTTGATGTTGCACTTTGAGTTGGTACATGGTGGAGAATTATGCTACAATTTATAAATGAATCTTTGGATTTGTGTGTTATGCATATTCTTATTTTCCTTTGAGTAGTTCTTTAGAATAAGATGGATAGGTTAATTTTTAATGCACAAATAAGTGTATAACAGATTCTCACCAAAATAATGTATTCGTTTTTTTCAAGATATATTTTCATCGTTCAACAAAATTATCAAGGTTTGGGGTTGGTTTATTGCAGTGGAGAATTTTTAAGTCAACAGTAATAATGTATTCGGAATTGAAATAAAGGTAATTTTTCTTTACCTCTCAAAATTCCATCCCATAATTGTGTAAAAGCTTTAATTATGAAAACATTTCAAGAAAATTCGAACATTAAGTTATTATTTTGTGGTCTTTACTCCTTACAATGAAACAAAGTTGCAATATAGTATCACGTTGGAGAAAGTGATAGTCTGATAGAGACATAGAGTCAATAGCTGTCATTTTTGTTAAATGGAGAAAAAAAATATATTGCGTGGCTTCATCTACACTACGTATTTGCAGTACAAAAGACTAAGTAGTGTAAATTATCTGGTGGTGAGTTATAATAAGGTATTGTAACTTGTAAGATCTATACAAATGTTTTTTGATGCGTCCAATCACAAATCAAATTAGAAATAAAAATTGATATATTTGACTTATCAATTTTTTGGTTAGTCGTGTTTGACATAAATCATGAACACGAACCAAACCAGAGAGCCAAAGACTTTACTACAAGTGTTAACCCATCCAACAAATATTGAAAAAATCAATTTGGTAACATGTTTCAGAATAACACTAATTGCTGAAATAAACTATTCGTTGCCGCCGCTATATATATATATATATATATATATATATATATATATATATATATATATATATATATATATATATATATATATATATATATATATAACAAAATAACAAATATTTTTGCAAGGTCATGTTCTAGGCTTGGCAGACCAATAGGTATACAATAATTAGCAACAAATAATAATCGGGTGTGTTTATATATGCAGCAAATGGCGTATCAAATAAATATAACATTTATAATTATCAAATAAATATAACATTTATAATTATATGTTTAAATATGTTTGAAATACATAGGATACAACGAAAATTAAAACATGTAATAATAAAACAAATAGAGATTATGGTTAACGCCACTTTAGTTTGAACTCTGGGTAGAAATCAGGAGTGGACTCGTCTAGCAAGCTTCTGTGGGAATTTGTTAGGGCTTTCCATTTTTTATGAGGATCCCATCTTATTTGAACATGTTTCAGGTAATGAGGCCAATACGCAGTTCTAGTATTCTTTTTCTCCAATACCTCCCTCAACATAAGCCTGCAAAAGTGATTGTTTTGCTTGAAGGAAACATCTGGCTGTGGAAATACTTGCTTGGGATGGCAAATCTCAAAGAATGCATCAAAAAATGGAGATCGCTCCCACAGGCCTTCGTCCTGATCCGTTTCAAACCACAGTTCTTGCATGTTAGTAGCAGGAGGAAGCAGGAGCCTTGTTCGTAGATCATCGATGTCGATATCCAATGGTGGATTAGAGTTGTCAGTTAATATATGAAGGTAGCACAAGCGTGATAACTCGAATGCTTCCCTCATCATAAGAAAAAAGTCTGCATCAACAGGAAGCTGGAGCATGAGTGAAACCTTGAAATGCTGAAGAGACGAGAGTGGAAACAGAAGACTAGGCAATATGCAGCCAGAAAGATGGACATAAAGTAATTTTGGAGCATAAACTTGTACATCGATAACCATGGCTGGGCACGACAGCAAGAACAATATTTTGATGGAAGGACATGTTAAATGGAAGCTTCCCAACATCCAAGATGTCAAATAAAGTGTCAAACTCTGGAGAAAAGGAAATTGCGATTTGAAGATGTCAAGACACGCATTGTCCGTTATCACACCAGCTAACGTTAAGTGTGTCACGCTTCTTCCTAATGATATTGAAGAGGCGTTGAATGGAGGAGGGGGGTGATCGTGCAGCCAAAATCGTACATCTAGTTCGTAGCTAAACAGGCCAAGATTTGGGACATCACTGATTTCCAAAGCAGTAGAGTCTACAGCATTTAAATTTATTCGTAATTCATAAAGACGAGGAAGGTTTTTAACCTTGATGGTGTTGAACCCATTGCAAGAATTTAAAAGCACTATCTTAACAAGCAAGCTACAAGACGACAATATGTGATTAAGTGCCTCTTCACTTATGCATACACAATCCAAGTGCAGTTCTCGTAGGGACACACACTTGATCACAGGATGCTGGCTAGTCGTCATCGGAACACGGCCCCCAGTGTACCTGAAACTCTTATCTTAGTTAGGTTTTCGCCCGAGAGTATCTCATCTGGCAAAGTAAACGAGGCACCGTTAAGGGTGATTGAGAGGGAAAACTCTTTGAGACAAGTTTTGTTTGCCAAGGGCCCGATCCATTTTTCAGCATGAGAAGCTGACTCCTGGTTCTCGACGTCCATCATAAGGTCAAACCTTTCGATTGGTATGTTGTCACGGAGATACCTGTATAGAACGCGGTCCATGTACGCCAACTTCATGCATCTTTCTCTTCCAACACTGAAGATGAGGATAGGGATGGTAGACCAGGCGTACAGCCATGACTTGGACAACACGCTTGTGCGGGCTGCTTCTTTTACCGGCAACCATGATTGTATACGCTGCATCAACTCAGGAACATCTTCCACTTCCCTTGCACTGGCACTGCTTTTCATCCCTTCAAACCTCAAAACAATTAACAAGTTAACAACACATCATCAATTTTCCACAGACATCTTATGTTATATTATGTACATATAAAATTATGAAATCACCACAACCAAACCAGCACAGCAATGCATTACAACCATATAATATATACAGTGTGTAGCATCCATCCAAAGGAGGGGTTTTGCCTTACAGATTGCTATATACAGCACTCTACTAGAAACAAAAGCCTAAAAAACACAACTTCAAACATGAAACATGTTTGGCTGCACAATTATTCAGATACGGTAACAATCCAACAAAAACTCTTAGCCAGCCAGGGTCAAATCCTTTTGAAACAAACAACACCATCCAATCCAAGTTATATAGGCAAAGCTAAGCCAGTAAATTAAAACAGATCAGTTCGGTCAAACCCCGCGATATGATGATAAGCGAACCATGAATTACAGCCCATAGTCATTCCTCAAATCGCCTTACCAAATAGCTTTAGATCTATTCAAAACCACTAACAGTTTCAAAATTTCTCTTGGTATCGGTATGAACAGAAACCAAGACACACAAACATGGATTGATAACCAGAATTCCATACTTAGAAGAAAAACCCAATCTTGTAATTTCAAGTTTAATTGCTCTAGTTTATGCCTCCAATTGTTCATATGCAGGATTTACACGCACCAAATAGCAGACAACAAGATGCAAAACAAATTTGATGATTTACCTGATAACTAAAATCCAGAGGCAAGCGGCAACAGCAAGCGTTTCCTCGAGGGTGAGAGTAACCACTAATTATTCATGACCTAGGGTTCATGTTGTACTTTCACTCCTCGTATCTAGATTTTAGTTCTATGTTCTGTTTTTGGTTTTTCTAATTTTATTTTCTTTTTATTTATTATAACCTGAATGACAAAATTACAAGAATGGTCTACCTGTTCCTGTTAGCCTTTTCTTTTTCTTTTGCTTTTTATTTTTTATTTTCTATTTTCGTTATGGTCCTTGTAAGTATTTCTCGATTTAATTATTTGACTCAATCGTCAAATTAATCATGAGTAAATTACAGTTTTGGTCCTATCGTTTTTCTCACTTTTAGTCCATTTTTAAAAAAATAGACGAGACTCATATTTAAAGAAATTACATTGTACGTCCCTTGTCCATAAAAAAGATTTTTTTACACTTAAGTATTTCTTTTTTAATTCCTTTTAATCGTTTTTATATTATTTTAATTAAAATAGATACAAACCAAAAACTCACCCATCCCACCCTCCGGACGGTTGTTACACCCACATATCTCCTACTAACTCTTTCACTCCTTATTCACATTGTCTCTATCTCTCTTTTTCTCACTTTCCTGCTACCATACACCACCATTGGACCACCGCAGTCTGTGACGGACCACCACCATTTGTACATCATCAAACCACCGTCACCGCCGGATCTGCTTGTGTTTAGCCAAAAACTCTACATCAACCCCAATCCGTCTTCTTATACTTTATCTCTCTCTCTCTCTCTCTCTCTCTCTACTATTTCATCGAAAACCACCACCAACTTCATCTTCATCCTCGGAGGTAAATTTTTTAGGGCAACATTAGGCTAAAGGTTTTTGTGTATGGATCAATTCTTCAAACCCTAACTTTGACGGTAGCTTTGACAGACCACAACGATGACGAGTAGTGAGTTGTTGGTTCGCCAGTCAGCGACTATGGTGGCTATTGTGGGGTCGGCGATATTTTCACTTTAGATTTGAGAGGGAGAGGCGTCTGGTAGAAGTAGGTGGTTGGCGGATGACGTTGGAGTGGTGAAGTTTTATTAGGATAAAGAAAGAGAGATGGGGGTGAGGGTAGGGAGAAGAAGGTGGTTTGCGTTGGATTGGTTTGCGGCGGATGGTGGTGGCACATGGTGTTGACAGGCTGGTGGCTAGTGAAGAGAGAGAGGGGGGGGGGGGGGGAGGGAGATTGGGTGGTGGTTGGGTTGGTTGGTGGCTCCTTATGGTTTTATATTTAATAAATATAAAAAGAGTAAAAAGAAAAAGAAATTAGAAAGGGTAAAGTATTATTTTAATATTTATGGAGGGACCAACGATGTAATTTCTCCTAACCGCAAGGACCATGGGTTCAATTTTTTTAAACCATGAAGACGACTCCTATCAAATTCTCAAAGCTTTGAATAGACATGCCATTTGAAACAATCCACAATGACCATTTCTGTAATTTACTCTTTAATCATCTATAGGGGTGATCGTGGTTCAGTTTGAAACCGTGAAACCAGCCAAACCGGTCATCGGTTTGGTTTTACGGTTTATATTTTTTTGTACGGTTTGGATTGCGGTTTTGAAATTTTCAAACCGTAGTGAACGGTTTGGCTTACGGTTTTTAAGATTTCAAACCGTATAAAAACCGGACCGGACTATAGAGTTTATATATATATATATATATATATATATATATATATATATATATATATATATATATATATATATATATATATATACTAGCCGTCTACCCGCGCAAAGCGGCGGGGCACGTGAGTTCTTTCGGTGATATGTTTCCATTACAAAATTGTTATGTTAAAAAAAAGTACATGTTGAAGACAATATAATCAAACTATGGTGTTATTTGTTACATCATGCATCAAATAACCAATAAAAAGCAACCAGTCAAGACGACACAAAATATTAATCGTGCAATACTTCTTTATACACCACATTTGCTGTATAAACCCCATCACCTTTTGAATTTTCGTTAGGCTTTACTAATACTTTTGTATTGCAACGTGAAACCCCTCTGGACAATGCAACATAAAGTTGTCCATGCGAGAATACTGGTTCTGGAAGATAGATACCTACATATGGAATTGTTTGTCCCTGAGCTTTATTGATTGTCATTGCAAAGCACAATCGAATAGGAAACTGTTTCCTCATTAGAGGATCGATGGTTGCTACTAATTGCTTGTAACTGGTATTGGTTTCATATCGATGGATGTGGATTCGCATATGAAATCAATTGTGTTCGCATCTATGAAATCAGTTCGCATATGACAACAATTGAGTTCGCATTTGGTTTTGTGGGTCAAAACAGTTCGCATAAGAAGTTCACGATTTGTTTGAGGTTAATTGATTTTGATTTCGCAAGCTTGGAGTCGGAGATCTGGATTGTGTTCGCATCTATAGAATGCGAGGAGAATTTAATGGTGATATTCAGTTCGCATTTGGTGACACAAGTACGTGGTTGATGATTTTTGGTTGGTTCGCATTTGAAATTAGTGGGTTTCGCATTTGGGTTCGTATCTGGGTTTCTCAAACAACTGAAATGCGAATATGAGACAACTGATTAATTTCTCAGTTAATGCGATGAAATGCGAATGAACTCAAAGACGGATGGATGCAAGATGCGAAGAATTTGAATGAAAATGCGAAGTTTTTAATGTATAAATGCGAATTGGGGAAGAAAGCTTAGAGTTTCGCATTTGGCACCTGATCTTTTCAAGAAATAATATAAGTGGTCCAACTTCGCAAAATGGGGTCATTTAATCAGAAAATCGATCATTCTTCAAATATGACATTTAATCAGAAAATCGATCTAAAAATGAGACATTTGGTGTTTATCGATTTTTCAGGGTCGACGGGTTGTATGAAAAGCGAAGGCTGAGTAATTGAAAATTAGAGGATCGATGGTTGCTACTAATTGCTTGTAACTGGTATTGGTTTCATATCGATGGATGTGGATTCGCATATGAAATCAATTGTGTTCGCATCTATGAAATCAGTTCGCATATGACATCAATTGAGTTCGCATTTGGTTTTGTGGGTCAAAACAGTTCGCATAAGAAGTTCACGATTTGTTTGAGGTTAATTGATTTTGATTTCGCAAGCTTGGAGTCGGAGATCTGGATTGTGTTCGCATCTATGGAATGCGAGGAGAATTTAATGGTGATATTCAGTTCGCATTTGGTGACACAAGTACGTGGTTGATGATTTTTGGTTGGTTCGCATTTGAAATCAGTGGGTTTCGCATTTGGGTTCGTATCTGGGTTTCTCAAACAACTGAAATGCGAATATGAGACAACTGATTAATTTCTCAGTTAATGCGATGAAATGCGAATGAACTCAAAGACGGATGGATGCAAGATGCGAAGAATTTGAATGAAAATGCGAAGTTTTTAATGTATAAATGCGAATTGGGGAAGAAAGCTTAGAGTTTCGCATTTGGCACCTGATCTTTTCAAGAAATAATATAAGTGGTCCAACTTCGCAAAATGGGGTCATAAAAAGACAAAAGTGCAGAATTTTCATTTCGCATCCCTGTAGTCTTCGCAAAATGGAAAATTTTACCCAGTTTCGCATTTGGGGTAAATTTTTTTGAGAAATTGGAATATTTTCAAACTTTTTTTCTTAAAAAAACACATTGTCTTCGTCTAAGAGAGGGAGAAAAACGATTAGGGTTTATAAGGGAAATACTTCATGGCAGTGGGATTTATAGCAGGGTTTATAAGGTGGAGAGAACAAACACACGTCTGCTATGAGATATTTTAATCAGCTGCAAATGCAACATTTAAAGGATATTTGTTGAAGCGTATTAGGATGAAAAGGTTTTAAATTTTGAATGACCATGAAATTAGGATTTTGCTGAGAAATATAAGGAATCAAAACAAATTTAAAATTTAATATTATTTTATTAATGGTTGTTTGTAATATTAGCTTACTCGTTTGTACGTCTTAAAAAAATAATATTATTATATTCAATCTATTTATAGAAATAGTTAGATTTCTTTTATAAGTAGTAAAGATATAGGATTTTCTGGAGGAACACACGAACATATTCAAAGAAACAAATAATGTATCCTTTCAAACAAAAATGCTTATAAACTCACCAACTTAAATGTTGACACTTTTTAAACCCACTTGTATTCTCAGGAAGTTAGTAGAAAGGTACTCTCACAGGCGTTACGAAGACGGAGCATAGTTTTATCACGTTTTATCTTTTGCTAAAGTCATAATGTTAAAAAATGTTTTGAACACAATGTAAACGCTTTATTATAAATATACTGGTTGTTGTTGCTTTGATTACTATTATACATTTGTTGTGATACTTTAAACATGAACTCATCCACCCTCAGACGTTTCCGCCGTTCAGGTTTGGGGGTGTGACAGATTGGTATCAGAGCATTGTTTATAGTGAACTAAGTATATCAACCCGTAAAAGATATACAACTGTAAATACAATGGGATAAAAACACTCCGACCAAGAGTCATACTTTTTAAATGCATGGATCATTCTTCTTGGCCTCCAATCAAATTCTTCTTGGCCTACAAATATAAGTCAAAACTTAGTAAGTTCCCACACACCACAATATACATACAATGCATGCACACATTAGCCTTCAGTCTGCCTGGACCGCCTCACAAGGCCTACAAAATGCATGGATCATTCTTCTTGGCCTCCAATCCACGACTGCCCCCCCCCCCCCCAATGCCTACAACATAGATTTGATCCACACCTAGCCTACAACACACCGTTAGCCCGCCCGAGTATGTTGGCCTACCTCTCACAACAGGACCACCTCAACCCACCACTCAATATATAAACAAACAAGCAATCAAGTAAATATATAAACACATGCAACTATCTACATTAATCTACCTATCTCTCAGCTCACGACCACGTATAAGGCCTCATATAGAACACTACACCATTACCGGCATAACACCAAGGAATGCATATCTATATGTAACCAGAGGTGAGATAAACATTCGAACAGCTGATCCCATTCTAGAACCACAACCAAACAAGGAACATGCAAGAAAGCCTAGATGAAGAGTTCTCAGGCTATGCCATGTGACTTCATACAGCCCCTAGGTCCCCCACTAGACGATTACCAACCTACTAGTATTCTAACGAGCATACCACTACTCTTATATCCTAACACATAAGGATATACGATGTAACATATAGTATAGTGAGGAAACTCACCTGAATCGAAGACCTAAGGAAACCCAACAACGTCCTCACTCCCTGCACCTATCACTCCCGTAGACCGACTGACATCAAATAAAGGTAGATCCTTAATCAATAACTCAAATCCTTGAAGTTTAACCCAAAGTCAAATTGGTCAAAAGTCGACAGTCAACCAGGTCAACGCTCACCATGATGTGGAGACCTCTTGACCACGTCGTGGGTATGTCAGGACAAAACAATCGATCATCTAAGCACCTCCACATTATGGCAAACCTTTGGCCACGTCGTGGTTTCTGAAAAAATTCCAAAATCTTCATTAAGTGCTTAATCCTTACAAATCTAAATCCATAACTTCAGGTGTAACACTGTAATTTTTCAAAACAAAATTTTCATTTAAAATCACTTAATCCTTGTAACACATTTCGTAAAATCTCATTTGTTTAAATTAGAAAACATAACTCCATGTTTAATTTAATAATCCAGGATCCTCAAAAACATAATTCTTCCTCTGGTGTGTACAATCAAGCCGGTGCCGTTTCGAGATACTGATAAAACCTGAAACACATAACACATAAATGAAGCTTAGTGAGTTCCCCAAAATACCATATACAACACATATTAGCCACTCGAGGCTATAACTCTATGGACCCTCTGGTCCTAACTCTGTGGACCTTCCGGTCCTAACTCTGAAAACTCTGGAACACACATAGCATAGATCACAAAGAAACAATACAATGCATCACAATCATATAAATAGCATACAAGATACTCTGGCATATAACTCTAATTACCACTCTAGGTAAAGTATAGTGAGAAGACTCACCTGAATGTAGTCGGATAACCTATCGTGCTCGACGTCCCGACCTAGCCTCCTCCTATCATCCAAAAAACACTCCCGATCAATATCCTCTCATAGTCTCATCTCTAAAGATTGGGTGGAAGGC